AGCAACAACAAAACTGTGCAGGGGAAAAGCATGGTAGCAAGCCAGTCACCAAATCACTGTCTCCACAGCCATGCCTGGGAACTGCTATTTTGCCTTGTGTTCACAGAAGGGCAGTTGTGTCACAGTTTAGTTTAAGAAAAAAAATCATAAATTAATCTAAATTAGTCTGGATTGGTATACACATCCCAGGTATTACAGAAGACAGACTGAAATGTATGAGTAAATCATAGGAAACTATAAGGCGCTATTAGGATCTAACAATTAAAAACCAATGATCAGAGATATTTCTGACTTAGGGAAGAGTCACTGTCGTTCGGTAAGAGTTTTGTAAAACCCCATCTAAATTACCGTGAACAGTTCTTGCCACCGATGTCAGAGAAAGATGAGTTCAAACTAGAACAGGTGCATAGAAATGCCAGTAAGATGAGCAGGCAATAGAAAAGCCATCTTACAAGGGGATCTTATTTTATCTAGTTAAATGGCCACACTCTATAAATACACTAACAGGATGACACCATAGGATTGAACTATTGAAACTAAAATACGAAGTTGTCACACAGAACAGTAGTTGAGGTATTTTAAATGTTGAATAGGAACTTGCCATCATAATTGTTAAGGACATGTATCAAAACAGAGGTTCTTCCCATTACAGATTAAGAATAATTTGAAGCTGGATCCTTACATCCACATCTCACAAGCTTGGATCTAATGGATCTTTAGATAGCTTGACAGCTACTACAAATTTTTCAATGCTACAGACCTTTACCTGTCCTGATGTTAAACATGGATGATCTCTGATCACTACAGTCATGTCAGAAGAAGCTTTAAGGAAGTTAGTTATGCAAAACCTGTGTTGTTATTGATACTTTATTTTATTTATAGGTACAATTTTACTATATTATTGCAAGTATAGCCTGTCTATATCCCCAAAAGGTATGCTACTATATCCTATCCAAAACAACCAAAAAGACGCACACACTTAATGTAAGCACAGCTTAAACTGACAAAATCCTGTAGCAAGTCACCCCATTTCCACAAGTGTGAAGTAGATTCTAGATGAAGTTCAAACAGTTGACTGTGGGACAATGACACACATTTCACCAAAATTCTCCTACAAGCTCTCTAAAATAGGAGAGCACTACTCCCTTCTACTGAACTTGCAGAGTAATGTATTATTCTCCAACAGCCAACTCATAGTTCTCCTTCCAGTATCACATCTAGCTCAATACACCAAGTTCCTCTCTTTTCCTTAAGGTTCCCTATGACCTTTCTATTTATACCCCTAAAAAGTAAACTGAAAATAAGAACGGAAAGCACCTCAGCCTTTAACCACTATAAACTCTGTACTGTAAGATCACTTTCAAGTTTGTTTTTAAATAGTATACCTACACTTTTACCAAGTGGCTTATGACACAAAATACTGCCATCTTACTGACCTTTTAATCATAAGCTCACTCTACTTAACGTCCAGTTCACAGTCTTTATCTACAAGTTATTGTAGTGATCCTACTGCATTGACTGAATTTGCTTATTCCTGTAGGCATTTATTAGAATACAATTATAAAGAAAGAGGAGATGAACTGAAATAGCCTTTCACTGATTGTCAGCCTCCTCCTTTCCAGAATTCTTCAGCCAAGCAGGCAGCTCTATTTTTTCACTGTACTTCGCAGAACATGCATGAGGACAGATGATAATGCTACGGAGGACTAGCTACTAAGCTTTATTTTCCTAATTCATGTTCCTATTCTACTCTGACAACTTTAGCAAGAGCTTATAGAGGATATGAATGGAAATCAGTTTCAGGAGTTAAGAGAGTTAACTAGAAACAAACCTAAGGCAACAAAAAGCAACTCTTACCCCTTCCTCACTTCCACTGATGTGCTACTTCTTAAACCTAATCACATTTAGAAACTAATACTGCCATCTTACTGACCTTTTAATCATAAGCTCACTCTACTTAACGTCCAGTTCACAGTCTTTATCTACAAGTTATTGTAGTGATCCTACTGCATTGACTGAATTTGCTTATTCCTGTAGGCATTTATTAGAATACAATTATAAAGAAAGAGGATGTGAACTGAAATAGCCTTTCACTGATTGTCAGCCTCCTCCTTTCCAGAATTCTTCAGCCAAAGGCAGCTCTATTTTTTCACTGTACTTCGCAGAACATGCATGAGGACAGATGTAATGCTACGGGAGGACTAGCTACTAAGCTTTATTTTCCTAATTCATGTTCCTATTCTACTCTGACAACTTTAGCAAGAGCTTATAGAGGATATGAATGGAAATCAGTTTCAGGAGTTAAGAGAGTTAACTAGAAACAAACCTAAGGCAACAAAAAGCAACTCTTACCCCTTCCTCACTTCCACTGATGTGCTACTTCTTAAACCTAATCACATTTAGAAACTATGTTTTGGTTTGGTTTTTTTTTTTTAAAAAAAGTATTTTACAACATGCTGAAAAAAATAAGTCTTCTCAGCCTTGCACAGTTGACCTTAATTACCCCCACTAAACACACCCCTCCTGGTGAGGCAGCCGTTAGTTGTGTAGGTTTCAAACTAAAGATAGCACTGTCTAAAAGAAAATACCATATAATCAGAGATGATTATCTCATTTAAGTGTTGACATAAAGTTGCAACTCCGATTAGAAAAATAACAAATATTTGTTCAATTTCCTGTAGAACTCCACTTCAGAGACATACAAGCATTTCACATTTGCTTCTAGCTTCACTCATGAAGCGATCACACCTTCAAACACTCCCGTTAAAGGAAATCTTTATAAGTTTTGGAATAACTACTCTCTCCCAAAACATCTTAACTGAAGCTAAAGATCTTCAAAGAAAAAGTAGGCTTGTACTAGAAACTCATCACCACCTGTCATGTTTTCCCCCCTAAATTGAAAGACCATACATATTCAACAACTACACTGAGGAATTTCATTAATTCAGAAAGACATAATTTGCAATTTATTATATTAAGCTGATAGAAAACTAAGTCACTCTTTCTACTGATGTTTGTCTTCTCAAGACACAGGCTGCTTGCAACAGTTGCACAGCTCAATTACACAGATGCACTATCCTGGCACCGTACAGGCGTGCTCCTGTCATGAGTTATTTGATAAGTCATTTAAACTGTCAAGCTAACTCAGAGGTGATAGATGCGTACCCAACCGCAAGAACAGTAGTCCACACTCTTAAGAGTAGGCACATAAATATGTGGGGTTTTTTGCAGTATATAGTTAAAACAGCACTAAGCTTTGTCTAAGTCTTCAAAGCTAATCTACATGCAGCATCCATACTGCCATAACCAAGGTTACTTACTGTAACCAGACTTTACATTAAGCCCAACATTTTCTCCACTGTAAACTCTGTTATATCTAGGGTGTTAGCTACTTCAGAGTGAAAGGAAAATCGTGGACAAGTATGAATAGGATATTTTCAACCTAATGTAACATGGTGTTGTAAAAAAAAAAAAAACCCAAACAAAAAAAAAACCCAACCCCTATTTGTTTTGAGACCTGTTAAGTCTGAAGTGATAATGCACATTCACTATAAAACTTAGGAAAGACTTCTTTAAAAGACCAATCAACTACAAATCAAAACTAAGACTCTTTAAATGCCTTTCATAAACAGTTCTTTTGAATATAAAACAATCTGAAGAAACCCCTCTCATACTTGTTGCTCTCCCATCTTACCAGTGAACACCTGAGCAAACTTTGACTATATATGCTTTAGTACTATTCTAACTTTATAGAAGTTAAGAGATAAGAGTACAAAGCTTCCAGGTCTTTTAAAGAAAAATTAACAATGTAAATATTGATTTCACCACTACTTGGCTCAGAACAACTAACTTAAAACCAGTTCACTTGAGCTTCTAAACCTCAAGGAACTAGTGTAGACACCTAAACCACGCTGTATGGGTTCTTGACTTCAAAAAGCAGTCTGCTTTAATAACAAAGTACGGCTTATTTACTTAAATAGAGTAACTGTTTCTGTTTGCAGGAAAGAATACATAGAAGTGAAACAGGATTTTTTTTTTTCCACATTATGAAATTTATTGTGTGTTTATCACATTCAAAAAGCATTGACCAGTGGTTTTTTTTGTAACTGTTAGAATGCCAAGGTAAAGCTGGTATATTTAGAAGCTTAATTAGCACCTAACAGATTACTGTAAACTTGAAGAAAATTTGAACGGCCATGTATTTGACACTTTAGACTTCCAATAGTTCTGTGGGCACAACAGAGTAATTTAAAAAGGTAAAAAAGAAACTGAATGCTTTGGAAAGATCAGGCAGAATCATGAACGTATGAAATTTAATCTTAAGTTAAAAAGATTTTAAGGGTTTGATGATTAAATCCTTACCCCCATTTTCATGTCTGTTTAAAATCTCAGTCTAAGCTTAAATTTTTACATCTGTCATGATTGCCTACATGGGCAATTATGGAAAAAACAGGATGAAAACTGCTTTGGGATGAACGCTGAGAGATTCTTCACAAGGCATTGCAAGGCTGAAACAGGAGTGGGTTGGAGAAGCGACAGTAATTCACATGGAAAAAAATGTAAAGTCCGTTGCATGAAAATGCCCCAATGTTGAGCAAAAGACATGCAAGAAAAGCTGAAGTAGCAGTGGAGAGTGGGTCTGATTAGTTTTTGATAGATGGAGAAAACTGAAAACATTTCCCCACTGTATAAGTGACATTATCCACAGTCTTTATTCAAATATAGGGAACAAAATCTAATTAAGAGAGAAATTTGATAAGCTTTACAGAAAGCCCTAAACAGAGCTAGTTTTGAAAAAGGGACAGATAATTGCTTAATCTCAAAATTAAGACTGAAGTATACCAATAGTACTTTACATCAAGCAGTTATCTTTAAGAATGCATGAAAAAGGACAATTTATTTTTAAAAGGGTGTCCTCTAAATACGGCATACATATAAAGTACTCTAACATCCTGGATTTTTTTCAAAGCTTTTTGAGAAACACACACAAATAATTCAGATTTAGTCAATTTTCTTTACAGTTTGTTTTTTTACATTTCAGAGCATTACACAAGTACATATTCTCATTTTCTGACCTGCAAACAGATACCTTAAACGGAAATATTAAAAAAAATGAAGTTAGATACATCCAAAATGCAACAATTACACATCTGACAATTCACAAAGTGTAATTTACTAGGACGTATCCTAAGAATTTAGGAACAACCAGTCAGGAGAAAATCTGACCAATTTCAGCAATCAATTATTTACACATTCAAAACAAAGCCTCTCTTAATCTAAACCTCCAGGCAAATGGCCTGAAAGATTTCTTCAGGAAGAAAGACCAGAAGTTACGATTCACACCTATGCAGCATTAACAGCCCTTGATCCCAAATACTGAGCGACTTCTCAGCTTTGTCTTAGAGCTACAGGCATCCCTCTCAGCTTCTCAGACCCTGAAGTGTTATATTTGTGCCCCCATGTGCATAGAAAGGCTGAGTGTTTAAGTGGTCACTACGATAAAACCCCATTTAATCTGGTCTTTAAGTTACATGAATTCTTCTTCCTTAAAAATTTCAGCAAGTCTTCTAATGCCATTTAAACTGGCCTATGTGGATTGGGGCATGCCTCCTTCAGATGTTTAAGCGTGCTTTGAACCAATTTGCACTGGGCCAGACTAAATACGTTAGAGACTATTTAAAATAATCTTTAAAGACCATTTCGACAAGGCTTACATTTCTACACTTCCCTGATGGGCCACCTAAAAAAAAAAAGTCACAGCTACTACTTTCATCCCTTGTGTTAACCCTTTGCCACACAGCAACTAGTTATATACTGGGTAGAAACTACTAAAAAATTCCCTGCAAGTAAGCTGCCTTTCAGCTGAGGCTATGGCTCCTATGCATTGGGTGTTTGAGGAGTTTTTTTTTCTTTAAAAAAAAAATTCTCACTTGAAAAATACTGAAGTTCTCACTTTAGGCTAATTTTGATTGCATGTTCAATTTGTTTAACTGTCAGGAAACCGCTACAAATGGAACAACTTTAGTATAAAAAGAGCAGTCAACCGAGTGCAACTTCTGACTTGGCAAGTCCTTCATGGTAGTTCTCTAACTAGGCTATGAATTTTGTGGAGCCTCCAGATTTCTTGCCTACCTTACTTTCCATGTTCACGTTTCAAACTGTGTCAGCAGGGCCCGAACTTCGGGAGTCAGCTGCTTAGCAGCCTTAGCTGCCTCTGTGACGGCCTTGCGGTAAAGACCCTTTCTCTTCTTATTAAAGCGCAACTGGAAGCTTTCTAAAAAGGGGGATAGTTGTGCAAGAGCAAGAAAAGATGTTGTTGTGGAGCCAAACCACGAGATACGAGCCTCCTGTCGAACTAAAAGGCCATTATCTTTCCGGCTCACAGTTATGGTAAGAATACGGGCTGGCCACCAAGGGAAGCCGTAAATCTTGGCCCAAACAATGTCCCCTACACATACGGTCCTGCCATCTGGTGTGACACACTTAGAGACGTTTTTGGAAAAGACTTCCGTTTTCAAGGAATTACTGAGCTTTTTCTCTTCCTTTGAAGAGGAGGAGGAGGAGGAAGGTGCATGCATGCTGCCTGGAGGAAAATCAAAGCTTTCAGTAGAGCTACACTCAGAGTTGGTAGATTTCAAATCATCTGTGCTATCACTACTACAAACTGATGCACTGGAAGAGTCAGATTTCTTTTGATTAAGGGTCATGTAAACCGTTATATTGCTTTTGCTGCCTCTCTTGCCCAATGTCTGGTGTTCATCCTGATCAACAGTTACATGCACTTCACTTGTGTCCTGAACCTCACTGCTGGCCTCTTCAGGGCCTTCTGAGGGGCTCTGATTTTCTGAAGGGGCCTCACCTGCTGAGCGGGTGGAGGAGCAGCGAGACTGGGGCTTAGTTGCCATCTTGCCACTCCGTATTTTCTCAAGTCCTGTCTTGAGAGAAGAGTCATTTTCTTCATTCCGATACCTTTGTGGCTTTAAACGCAATCGGGGTGGGAGGGAACCTGAGCTGGTGTTCTGAAGACGCCGTGTGAAGTGGACCTTTGAATGTGCATTTTTGGAAGAGGAGGTTGCACTCTGCTTCTTTTGTGCCTTTTCTTTGGCCATTTTCAAGACTTCCCGAGCTTTTGCATGATCCATGTTTTTGCTCTGGAGAACTTTTTTTGTATTTAACTGCGCTTTTGAAGTGTTTGCTTGTGCGGAAACTTTAACTACTCTGCTTCTGCTGTGGGCAATATTTGAAACCTTGACCACAGCATTCCTTTTCTGGCTTTCATTTTGGCTTTTTCCATCCACTTTATGATCAGTCTTAAGTTTTTTATTCACAGTAGTCACACTCTCATTTCTTCGTTTTTTGTTATCCTCATATTTTGAAGAGTCACTTGCATTGCCACCTTTTTTTATTTCCTTTTTTTCTGCAACAACACTGTTTTTGCACTTGTCACATAAGACCTGTCGGGGTCGTAGTTTGATAGCATTCATGATAGAAGTGGGTTCCTCCCTGTACATTTTACGCTTGGGCCGCTTAATTTTCCGGGGTGGAGGCTGAGGTATTGACTGGTTATATGTGTCCCTGATAAACAAAGGAGGAGGATATGGCGCTCCCTCATGAAAGAGAGGAGGTGGTTTAGAAGTCCATAGGCTTTTAGCTATGCTAGGTTCTGATGGCTGCGTGAGAGAAGAGTCATCAGGGACTGCAGCATTAGATTCACACTTCACCTGTGCCTCATCTTGGAATGGTTTACTTTGGAGCTGCATGGCTTCAGGTTTATCCTTGTATTCCCTTTTAGGAAATATGGTCACAGGGATTCCATGGGGTCCAAACCTTAAAGAGAAAAAAAAAAAATTAAAGGTTTTGAGGGATCTTTTGCTGCATTTATTAAAAACCATTTGAAAACCTGTCCAAATTACGTAGCCACCATTTGAAAGACATGAGTCCCAGGAAAATTAAAGCTTCATATCTAGCCTTATGGTAAGCTTTGAAAAAGCAGGACACCAAAACCAAGTCAGTAGAGAACATGAAATACATAACCTCACTTATTATCAGTTTCTCTTGTATCAATAAGATGCCCTGAAAACGTAACAAAAAAATATCACCTAGAGACAGCAGTAAAAGAATTAACTTTGTACTTTTAGAAAATGCTTATGAACATACAAACTACACACTCATCCCATCAACTCCAAATCTACCCAGGATTAATTTCCATACTAAGTCAACTTATGCGAAGGAGGCATCTTCAGTAACTTTTACAAAATTCTTCCACTTATAGCATAGCACAAAAGGCCGAATATGTTTCAGATTTAATCAAGGCAAATACGGGCTGCATAAATACTTGCATTGAACAGAGTGCCATCATTCTTCATCCACAAAAGATTACCACTTGATCATCTGATGCATTACAGCCCAAAACTTGCTAGCCTATTAATTTGAGTTTCTTCCAGCAAATCTACCCTTATTTCAACACAGTACAAACCATTCCTCCCTGTTTTGCGAGCAAACACTATTTTAAACCTTTGCTTACTTTCCTCCAGACAGCTCTAGATATCTGCTGCCCCATTTGATACACACAGGACTTCTCACCACCCTGATCAGCTCTGAGAGAAGAGAATAAAACATCCCAGTATAACTTAAGACTTTAGCTCAACTTTCCTATAGTAACAGAAGTAGCATGTTGCCTAACAGGTAACCAGTACTTTCTGCAAAGGGTTGTGCTAAGGGAAACGTTTTATCAGTTTGCAAGGCATTATGCTTGTCTTCTCCTGAGAGGAATCAAATGATAAATACATTCATTTTACAACAATGTATCTTTCAGTGCCCAGACCAGGGCAGGAGGGATTAAAAAAGCTTGTTTAACCTTCCTTCTGTTCCATTCCACAATCTACCAGCTGAGGTACCAGCCTTACACAGAGCTGTCACTAGGCTGTTCACTGCTCTTGAGCCCTGCCTGACTCCAGCTCCCCCCCACATACTAGTGTTTGGCTTATATTAGTTGGTATTTTAATAGTTTGACCTTAATGCAGTAACAACATGATAGACAAGGTTGCAATTCAAATGCCAAATCATCCACTTTGAACCACTAAAACACCATTGTGTTTATCCCACCCCACCTGAAATGAGAATGAAGTAATTACCCAAGATTTGTCCTCAGGTTAACACTAGTTCATGTTGCACTGCAGCTACTCAACTGCAACATCCTCTTAGCTGACTGAACTGAAGTTTATTTACAATCTATGGTTGCCTCTCAACTGACGATAACTGCTGAATACTGGTCTATTTTCCATTCACACTCCTGCAGGAAACATGCAGTTTATACAAGTGCCTACACGTTGGCTTTATTTCTTCAAAATCGGTTTTGAAAAAACATCAACGTATGTGTCAGAAGATTCTTTACACTGTCACCAACAAAAGCTACCACTTGTTTGTCCTTTTGCTTATCTGTTAAGCCTCTTTTTACACTTAAAAAGAGTTGCAATTGAAGCAAACCACCCATCCAAGATTAAATTACCCATCCAGTTTGCACTTCATTACAAAAGGAGATCAGAAACAGCAGACAACCTAAAGCAAGGGGCAACCAAACACTGTTTTCATCATAAAAAAAAGGGAAGTTGAACAGGTGACAATTTACAGCTTAGTATCAACATGGGCACTGTTGTTACCCTACACCTAGGTACTGTTACATCCATACCTTTGAACTCTGGAGACAAAAGCAGGAGCCCAGGTGGGCAGCTAGAGCAGTTCTGTCCTTATCCACGGGCTGATGAGTGCTCTTGACCACAAAATATCCCACCACCCCACAAAAGTTCATTTCTGAGGTTTGGACCCACTCCAGTGGAATTCCACATGTCCCTCCAGAAATGAGCAGCATAACTAAATGCAGTCTACTGCACTAGTGAAGGCTACAGTGAATTATAAACATTTAGCAGCTGATACAGGCATTTCTCCAGACTACAGTCTGGCATTAAACCACAAGGGACTCACTCATAACGAAGTTTTAAGTTCCCTAAAGCCCCAGAAGTCCACCAAGCGTAAAGAAGTTGCTTTTCCACAAACACTTTTCCTTCCACTAAGGATTATGCGTAAATTATTCAATTCCAAGTAGGGCTTTAAAAGAAACTATCAGCTGATAATAATTAAATTAGTAATATTTTCAGTGTTACTTGCATCAAGAACTTCAGCTTCTTTAAGAGCAATTAAGATCCAGATCCCATCTTTCACCACCTGATAAAGATTACAGGATTTGGGAAAAAGTTAATTTATGATGAGAGTTGAGAACAAGACAGGGCAAGATCTCTGCTGTGCAAGTTTCAATCCCAGACAAACACCACAAAAGTAGAACCAGACAGGAGTGTGGTATCAAACGGGCAAAACCCATGCAGAAGAACATCACCTACAACTCTTTCCACTGTCTCAGGAACTTCATTTCCTAGCCCCCCACAAGACATTTCCATAGTCCAATGCACAAGCCTTTCTTCTAGAAGACATTTATGCTGACTCCGTATTAGGAAATTAAGCATTATTAGCAGTGACCAGGGAAGAAGTGGATGAAGAGGACTGCAAGGAGGTTCTCCAGAAGGATCCCATTTAAGTACTTCATCTCTCTTTTCCTAGATTTTCGTTCTACACCTCACAAGCAAAGTCAGCACAATGAGCACTCCAAATGCATAAAAAAGCCTAATGGAAAGCTCAGCATGACTTGTACCATGAAGGCATCAAAAGATTAATATTGCACCTTAGACTATCCTTTCCTTCAAGCATTTGCATAATATACAGGCCAAACAGCTGAAGAACAGGACAGACGAAGTGGAATTTTAATCTAAGATGCAAACCTTCTTTAGTAAGATACAAAACCAATCCAGACACTATTCCTGTAAACGATGTGTCAATACATAAAGATATGACTAGTCAAGACATAGTCCACCTGAAGTACAAGATAAATTTGGTAAGCCCAGAGACTGAATATTACTTCCAATAGCTGAGTGTATGGTGCCTTCTCTTTGGCCTCATCCAATAGCAGGTTGCATCCATAAACATTCAGTTTTTAGATGATCTTTGTTTCCTTCTTGCTGAATGAAGTTCTCCAGCTACGCAACTTGGAAGAATGATATGAAAATTAAGAAGAGAGAACAACGGCAGAAAAACTTAGGAATGAAACAGTAAATGATACAGGAGAGAATGAAGACAAACAACAAAGTAAGAAGAGAGTGAAGGCAAAACAAAGAATGGCCTATTTTTCTTAAAAGAAGCAGCAGAACGAAGACGTGATCTTAACAGACCTATTCAAGACAAGGTATGACACAGCATCTAATTAGTTCAACAATGAACACAAGTATTTATTGCATATACTAGAATTTCAAGCCCTATTTTCATACGTCAAGTTGGTGGACCTTGAAGACAAGTGCTTCTCATACAATCACAATAGTAATTTTTGTTATACCAACTACATGTTTGAAATAGCTAGAAGTGCCACATGTATGTAGGTTAGACGTAAAAGTTGCGAAAGCTAGCATTCGGTTCATCTACTACAGAGATGAAGATGGACTAAAAGGCTACCATATAAAAAAGGTTAAAAAATCCAAGCAACATAACTCAGTTGTATCATCATATTTACTGATCCACACATCAGTCAACGACTGGGCAGTAGAAGATCACCTCTTAAAAGAAACAATTTCAGTTACGCTACATCAGTGGGACTACCTACATATTTCATTTGTCACATGTTGCATGTTTAAGTACTATAAGGAATTGCCTTGTCTTTATTCTAACAACAAACTATTTTTTTTTTTTAATATATTGATCCCGAGTATCACCTGTCCCTACTATAGTATTACTTTCCTCCAGAAAAGGCTATTCTTGGAAAGACATACACGAATTACTGTCTGCTTAAAAAAAATCCATTTGTGCATAAGTTCCAGCTGTTCATTGTACAACCCCCTCACACACAACATAATATAGTTCTACCTCAGACTATCACTTGAAGGAATAGACGGATTCATTGTCGGGGGATCTAAAATTGAAGTGTTCGGAAAACCAAAATAAGAAATAGGTATTTCAACTTAATTTAAGGCAGTTCTGGAAAGCAGTGCACTGCTGCTTCATACCTATTCAAAATTAGAACCAGTTTTCTGTGTTGCCAGCTTCCTCTCCTGTAAAGGTGTCCTGGCTCTTTTTTGCTTTGAGAAGACGGTTGAGACCCATCATAAGAATCTTATCTCCAAGAGGTTTTACAAATAACCAGAGCAATCAGTAGGACCTAATCATATTTCTGCTATACATATCACTTCAATATACATATGCATTAAAGACATAAATAGCAACAGGAATACCAGGAACTATAAATAAGAGACTAATGGGGTAGAGGAGATCAATTCTGGCAGTCCAGTGATCTTTACCCTAGGAAGAGCTTTCAATTGACTAGGGTATTCGGAGAGAGAAATATAAGAACAGTCAGGTTTTATTTCCATAGTTTGTCAACTGCAAGTTAATGAATAGGTAGCCATGGCATCTTTTGTAATGATGTAAAAGCTAGCTTAGGTATTGAACCTAGAAGCCTATCACTTAAAGCCATATAGATTTGTATTACAGATATGGAAACTTAAGTACTTCAAGCAAAGTAAAACCACTTTTTCCAAATCTAAATTCTATAGCAGAATTACTACAATGAATACATATTACTATTCAATTTGTATGCAAAACCCAACACAGTTAAAGAGTATTTCTTAAAATAATAAACATGAGATAAGGAACAAATGCCATTTAAATTTGTAACTGTATGTACATAAACATCTAAACAATACATCCTGGGGCAAAGCGTTTTTACTTTACTATGTAGTCTTAAGCTCTCATCTTTAGCCTCCAATGTCTAACTTTAACTTCTCTATTAAAACAAAAATGAAAAAGCACCTTGTTCTGCCAAGAAGAGCCAGAAGGAGAGAACCCACTGAACCAGTTCAGAAGTATTTCACATTTGTCTGCGAACACACTGAATTAACGTCAAAGCAGTACAGTAACTTCCAGTGCTGTGATAAGTGTTAAATCAAGTCTGTTGTAAATGACCATGATCAAAACTCGTCTTCACCATTAAGTGAGACTACAGTAATCTCTGATTACCTTTTTATGCATTGCTCTTGTACTCAATATCATCCTTAGTGTTTTGCAAAAACCAAGACAAGCAACAACTGAAGCAATTTTTATTGCATGGATAGAAGTTCAAAGACTCTGAATGCTGGGAGTATAATAATATGCAGAAATAATGTAGAGCTAAGTATATATTTCATGCATGTATCTAAACTGAGGGTTTAAATTATAATATTCAATGTAATATACAATTAGATCATAGCTATTTGAACACAAAGTATTTGAGAACTCCTCAAAATAATCTGTATTCAAAATGCAGATTATGCAATAACCTATTTTTTAATATACGGTTTACTTGGTGTGATAAAGCATGATATGGAATACATTGCTTTAAGCGGTAGGTACCTTACTGAAAAAGCATATACAGAAGCCCAACTATCAACTCAATGGTTTACTCACCTCCTGAGCAATGTAACACTAGGCTAAATAAACTAGAAAAATGCATATCTCACTTAGAGCTCTAAAAACATGGCAAAGGACTGCAGCGTAAGTGACTCTGGAAATAACCCATCATCAAGAATAGATGTTACCTCACCATCACAAACTCTCAGCACCAAGAAGAATTTGGTTAAAGATATCACAGTTCCAGTTAAGTAACATGTGACAATCCACATCTAAGCAAACTAATAGGAAGCTTACATACTCAAAGACTTTTACTAATCAATGTTATGCTTAAGTGTTTTTCAAGCAGGTACACTTGCCTGAAAGCCAAGCTCTTGTTTCTGGCACACTTTCAAGGCAGAGGAAAGACAAGAGCAGGGTATGTGTAGACTTGAGTTTGAAAGAGTATCTCAAGAAAGCCGGTTAGAAGTATCCAAGGCAGCAGCTGATTTTAATCATCCCAATCCACTGTCACCTGGGTCTCCTACTGCAATCACTACCCAAGTGGAAACCAATTAATGGATACCAAGCAATACGCAAATATACCAAAGGCTGTATTAGCTTACAGTACACCTCTCCATGAAGTTAGAAGCCCTTTGAAAGGCTTCAACTTCCAGGAAACTGAATCACAGAAGTCCATGTAGTCAAGAGGCTGATGCAGACTTTGAAGAATCATCCACTGTAGAGACAGAAGAATCTCTAAGTTGACAAGCTTGAAGAGTATGCAGGTGGTCCCCTAATCACTGCTTTCTCCCCACAGAAGTGGGAAGGTACCCCTCCACCTTTTCATTGCAAAGGATTTACAAGTGAATTCACAGAATTTCCTTTGGTTTTCTGTTACTTGGAGTTCTATCAAGGATATAAAAGTAGACTTCAAAAGATAGAATGCTTTAAGTTTAGGCTTCCCGCTAACTACCACAATTTTACTGGCATGCTTATAAAGCTGCAGGTCTGTTTAAACTGAAATTATCTTTTAATTTTTACATCTGTTGGCATTATTAGTTTCAAATGTCAGTTGCATTTTAAAGGAGATGCTTTGCTGATATATTTGGAAGCGTTACACAGTTGCAAAACTTTATGATTAAGATAAAATACCTTGAATATACACTTCAAGATCATCCACATACCAGTCAGACCCAAGACACATGGAAGAGAATGATACCATTCATTAATGGATGAACTTTAAGCCAATTCAGTGTCAAGATGGACAAGATTCATCAGTCCCGTAACGGTGTAAAGAAACAAAAATTAAAATCATTTAAAGCATACCAAAAATTTCACCTCTACCCTGTCTCTCAACACTTGAAGCCCAGTCAAGTCAAGCTACTCTCAGAAAGTAATGGCAACCCATGCTGCTGGAATACAGAACAGCATACCATAAGAAGAAAGGACAGTTTAACCATCATCTGTTGCATCACAGTCCAACAAAGAACAGTAGTAGACTACAGCTACTTTAGGAAAGGAAAGTTTGAGGCACAATCCACAGATGCCCTATCTACCAGCAAGATTAGGGCTTACTGGTTTGAGAAAGAGAAAAGTCACGCTCCTCGTACCGGCTCAAAGCCAGAAGCAGACTGGCAAGTGTTTTCAGTATAAGCAGCAGCTTTAACATGCTTTATAACTATACTAGCAAAGTCCTAAAAGCTAGTCCAGTTTTGTTAGCCATTTTCACCTTCCAAGTGAAAACTTGGAAATGAGTAAACCTTTCAAAAAGCGTTTGATAAATGACCACAAATAACACTAAGTTTTGGATGTAGATAGAGACACAAGAGAAACTATTTTCATATAGAAGCTGAAACATTACAAAATCATAGAAAAATTTAGGTTGAAAGCAATATCACAAGGTCTTCTGATCCAACCCTGTCCTCTAAGTGAGGCTAAATTTGACACTATACCATTCAATATAACCTCTGTAAGTCACAAGCAAAGTACATGTAATTTACTCTCTTAACCACACCCACACATCACACCTATGCTTCATGTTCTGGGGATAAAAGCAAATATCAAAGAAGTGTTATGGCTGTTCTTTAAATGCTAGAATTTTGCCAAGCTCCTTTATACATCTGAGAAACAACAAAAGAGAACAGGTGATGAACTGTAGGAACACCTTGCAAACAGAGTGTAAGTTTAAAAAAAAAAAAAGAAAAAGAAAACCAAAACACAACTCACACACAACCCTGAGTAACAGACATTTCTTTACTGTTGAGAACCTGTATCATAGATCAGTACTTCTACAGAACTTAAACCTTCCCCAGACAAGGACAACCAAATGTTGTCCCTATTTATTAAACGAAGTTATTAGTAGAAGAGAACTTAAGAGGAGGGAGAAACGTGCCAAATTTTTTCAAGTAAGACTTCTGCTGTTTCCTTCTCGCATCAGTGAATCTTGAATTTCTCAGCTTGGGAGTTCCTTTTTTTCCCCTCCCACCTTTCTTGGCGTATATGGTTACAACACACTAGATTCACCCTGTGGAGGTAATACAGACAGAATGCGAGCATACATAGACTGCAAGTTTCAAGAAGTGCTACATGTAAATGATTTAAAAAATCTAACAGATCTTCTGCAGATTAAAACAATACAAACTAGGGAATGGATGCAACAGTTCATTATCTATCCTTATTCTTCTGCAGCGGAAAGTTCAATGAATAAACTGGGAAAAGCGTAGGATTCAAGAGTCGCCAAGAAAGAATGCTGACTGAAAACTGCTACTAGGATTATAAGAATTTGAAGCTGTTTATAAAAGTTTATTTTCATCATATAGTTCATGCATACCTTGCTGCAGGAAGTCTTTCCTTATCTTCCACAACTAAACCCCAATGAAGATATAATTTCAAACATCTGTCTACTAGCAATACACTGAGCATCTTTTGGATATCTAAGGATATCTACACTCATCAGGTATTTCCTCACTGTCTACTTCCTCCAGGTGCAGAGCAAGATTTCCACTAATTCTGAGCCAGCAGGTGGCATTAACATCTCATATACCCTAAGCAAACACAGTGTTAGCCAAATGCTAGATACAGACAAGCTTACAAGCCCTATTTAAGCCCCATACCTAACGAGTAGTTTTCAGTGACAATTTGTACAATGGCATGGAAAATTCACTACAGTCGTGCATGAAGCATTCCACTATCCACTCCGACAAAGTAAGACAGGATTGCCTTCTCCTGCCTGCCTGATGGTTGGCTGCATTTCTGGTCTCTCCGATCAGCACAACTATCAGGTATCCACTGAGGAACTCGCATCAGAACCTTATCCTAGCATGCAATAAGGCACTTAAAAGGTAATGGCAACAGTACTAATAAAGTATAACAGTAGGATCACATTTTTAATTTGTGCAATAAGCCTTTAGAGTAACAGAAGTGGAGATATGTTCCTCTTTAAATGATGATTTACTGCGTAAGAAATTGATTTGGGACTCAGTAGATGTGGGTTCCTATTTTCTGCTGATTTTCAAAACTTCCTGTGCTGGTGCTGACAGATACACAAGACTGCCATTAGTACAGGCAGAGAAAATACTTCCTTACCTCAAATAAATGTAGGAATAAAGTCCACTGAACACTGATGTGCTTGTGCTCTTGTGTTATAAACTCCTAAGTGGACATCCTATTTACAGGGGGTAGGAGGGGAAGAGGAAATCGGACCTTTAATACAAACACCACTGAATTCATATCAAAGTCCACAAGAATAAAATGCAAAGTCAGTGCATCATTTCAACAATGGAAACAGAATTAGGAAAAAAGACAAAAACAAAAACAACCAAAAAAACCTTTAAAACCAGAAATATATGGGGACATTTTTCCTTTTCTATCACCTTGAAGTTCAAGTAATTCAGAACATGACTTGAGAAGGCTAAAAAGAGTCCAGTGGACAGGTTTTTAAAACAGTCATTCAAACTTACTCTTAGTACTGTACAGAAATAGCACCTTCATTGCCCTGGAGGGGAAAGCAGAAATTAAGATCCAAAAAGGACTAGGAATTATTGTCTCTGAGTATACGATGAAAACAGTATTAGCACGTGCAGTGAACACATCAGCCACTTTTTGAAGCTATTGAATGAGTAAACTCTAATACAAAATTTCACTTTTATTTAATAAGAACTGGCAGTCTTAAGATATTGATCCCCTTTGCGTTAGGAAAGTTTATAACATTATTCCCATGCACCTGAATAAGCTAGTGGAGACAGCTTTCAGTAACCACCCATCTTCCATACTAGAAATCCCAGTGTTTTCATGTAAATGCATGCTGGAATTCAGGTGGTTTTGATTTAACCCTACCCTTCCTTTTTTTTTTTTTCCCATATATTTTTTTTTGGTCCAGTGGAAAAACTTGTTATAAGAATTCCAGGACCTGCCACAGATACGGAAGGAAGTTAATGAAAAATGTTAATATTCTACAAGTCCATGTACTGCTACACAAAACAAAAATAAACAGATATAAAGAAAAGCTGATACCTAAACAGTACTATCATTCAGTCACTTACCATCGAAGTCATAAAGTCTAGAATAAAATTTAAATCTCGGACATTCATGTAACACCTGTTTTCTGATAATGCTTCAATTTCTTACAGGTAGCAAGTTCCTGGACTATTTCTAGAGTTCACTAACCACTGTATTTCCTGCTCCGAGACATTTGAACAGAGACTCCTATTCATTTATAAATATTTACTTGTCACCAGCCAAATATTATAGACCTTACATCTAGAAACTCAATTCTTCTTGTCCAGGCACTCTGAAGAGCTTGGCTTTTGGAATTTAAATTTCACCTTCTGGATTCCCATGTAACAAGCACCTCTGAAGAAAGTCCAAGATCATATGAATGGAGAGAAAGGAATAAGTGGTTCCACTGCATAAGAGAATCTGGGAATAATAGCACAACCCTTCATGTATCACTTTTTCACAGTTCTTACTGTAAAGACTTGCCCGAGGGCCTGTGCTTAAGAACAGGGGAAACTGAGATACATGCTTCCACTGAAGCCACAATGCAAAAGCAGCAGACAGTTTGCCTGCTACAGATGACCTTTACTGCAAAGGGCTGCAGTAGATCTGCAGAGAGAAAGATCTTCAGCACGCAAGAAAACCTCAGGCAAATCAGTGGATGTTTGTGGTCAATGTGTGTTTAGTAAGATATGATCTCTTTCAGGAGTATGGGAGAAGCTGATGCTTTCCTTCTTCACACATACAGACCCCTAGAAGTACAGAAGCACGTGCTTTGTCACCCTGCTAACCAGGGCAACAATATAATTTTGCTGGTATAACTTCAGACCTACAAAAGAATCGATGTTAACTAGCATTACAACTTAAGTTGTAAAGCCTCCTGGCCTGCTTTGAGACATTTAATATTTCACACTAGAGGTGAGTACAGTTTGCAGATCACATTTTAGTACGTGGCTTCAAAAGACAAATTGGTAACTTAGCATTTCAAACCACAACAACTGACAAATTTAAAACTTACTTCCACGACATTATCCAGAACTTGGGTTTTGGAAAAGGCCTTCTGTTTCAAAAGCCAACCAAGAAGCTAGGCCCAGGACAAAAGTGCTGGTCCCTAATACCTTTCCTTTTAGAAAGCATTGACAATATTGATATTACAGGAAGTTATTAAACAGCTACTAGTAATGTAAAAGGGAGTGATAAAAG